TAATTTACGTGTGTATGTGTGTGGCCTGGCTGGCATGTGGTGCTGAGGGATTGAACCGCGGTCCCTGTGCTTTGTTTAGCTTAGCTTGTTCTAAGTAGGTGCTTTAGACCACTGAGCCATCTCACCAGCCCCCGCTTATGCATTTGCAGGTGGACATTTAGGTTGTCTCCACTTCTTGATTATACTGAACTTCATGAACAGTGATGCTGTTATGCCTCAAATACTTGCTCAGAACCAGCTTTCATTTGGGTGCATAGCTACAAGTGGAACTGCTGAGACATGGGGTCATTCTAGGTGAAAATGTTTAAGGAATGGCCAGTTTTTCACAGTAGTTGCATAATTTTACATTCCTGACAGCAGTGTATAAGGATTGCCAAGTTCCTTATAACCTCACTAGCATTTATTATTTTATGTATATAAAATGTTTTCATAATAGCTGTGTTGCATTTCTTTTTCTTTTTTTCTTTGGAAGAACCGGGGATGAAACTCAGGGTCTTGTGCTTGCCAGGCAAGTGCTTATTCTACTGAGCCATCTCCCCGGTCTTAATAGCTATGAAGTGATAACGTGTGTGTGTGTGTGTGTGTGTGTGTGTGTGTGTGTGTTTTGAAATTCTTATTCTGAGAGAGGATCTTGCTACATTACTAAGTTGCTCAGGTTATGTTTGAACTTGTGATCCCCCTCCTCAGCCTCCTGAGCGCTGGGATCACAGGGGTGTGTTACCAGGCTTGGCTCTTCTTTAATTTCTTTCAGCAATGTTCTGTAGTTTTGTGTTCTTTGAACTGAGGATTGAACCCAGGGCCTTTGCACTGAGCTTTGCACCCAACCCTTTTTTCTTTTTTTTGACACAAAGTCTCATTAAATTGAGACTGAAACTTGTACTCCTCCACCTCAGCGTCCCCAGTGCTTGCATTCTAAGTATGCACCACCACATTTACTTCATGTTCTGCAGTTTTCAGTGTAAGAGCAGAGAATAACTTTTACAAAAAAGAGAAAGAACATTTACACAGCAAAAAGGTGCCATCTACGAACCACAAAGCAAGCCCACACCACACAATGAATCTCCTAGCAACTTGATGTTGGACTTCCAGTTTCCTAAATGATAAGAAATAAATCTGTAAATAAACAGGGCTGGGGAGATAGCTTGGTGGTCTAAGTGCCTTCCTGGCAAGCGCAGGGACCTGGGTTCAATCCCTGGTACTGCATGCCATGCCTGCCCCTGAACCCTGGGTGCACTGTGTTGGCCACGAAACTGGGCGTGGTGGTGCACACCTGTAATCCCAAATAAGTCTGTGTGTAGTGAGGCCCTGTACCAAATAAATAAGTAATTTTTAAAAGCTTAATTCTAATCGGTGAAATTCTCACAGAAGGGGATACACGGGAACTCTACCTCTTGCTCATATTCCTGTACTTCTAGAATTGCCCTAAAGCCCAGTGCAGTAGTGCATACCTGAGTTCCCAGCTAGTTGGGGGTTGAGTAGGCAGTACTGCAAGTTTGAGGCCATCGTGGGAAATTTAGGAGGACCCTGTTTAAAAATAAGTAAACTGAAAAAAATAAAAAAAAATAAAAAAAAGGGGGCCGGGGAGATGGCTCAGTGGAATAAGC